AAAAAAAAAAAAAAAAAAAGAAGCAGCAGCATAGAGGAGAGCCTGGTGTTTTACATCTGTACATGAAACTCGACCTGGTGTCATCACTCTCAAGCTACACCCACTTGGACAAATCGCTCAACCTGTCTGAGCCTCAGTTTCTCCAGCTGCAACACAGGCTTAATCAAAGACCAATCTTGCAGAGTGGCTGTGAGGGGGTCACTGGTGGAGTCAGTATTCAAATCCCAAGTCTCCCCCTAGAGAATTGGTAGACAGATAGCCTCTTGGGCAGCAGGGGTGGGTCCGGGGAGGTGGGGCTGAGGACCACTCACCGTTCACATAGAGGCTGTCTTTGTCCAGGGAGTAGGGGCCCAGCCAGGCGATGCCACGGGTCTGCCAGCTCAGGTCATGGAACACCTGCTTGGCAGGTAGACCTGGGCCGTCGGGGGGCTGCTGGTAGGTGCAGAGGAAGTCCACCCGCGTGTGAGCACCATTCTTCTCAGGCCTGAGGAGAGAGAGGTGTCCCTTTGGGGGATCCAGGCCACCTGGCACTGCTTCCCCTGTGGTCACTGAACACCTCCCAGTGCGTGAGCCAGCCTTGTTGAGTCCTTTGCAGCTTCTCCACCTGGCCTTACTGTCCCTTTTGAGGTCCTGTGCACTTGAAGTTTTTATATGGAAGTTCCCTACCCGGGTAACTTTCTGGTCATCCTCCAGGTCTTAGCTTAACCAATTCATCCTCTTCCTCCTCTTCCTCTTCCTCCTTCTCTTTCTCCTCCTTCACCATTTCCTCCTCCTCATCTTCTAAAATTTTTATTTTTGTTTTTTGAGTTGGAGTCTCACTCCACTGCCCAGGCTGGAGTGCAGTGTCACGCTCACAGCCACTGCAGCCTTAACCTGCTGGGTTCAGGCGATCCTTCCACCTCAGCCTTTCAAGTAGCTGGAACCATAGGCACACGCCACCATGCCTGACTAATTTTTTGATTTATTATAGAGATGAGGTCTTACCAAGTTGCCCAGGCTGGTCTCGAACCCCTGAGCTAAGGCAATTCTCTCACCTTGGCCTCCCCAGATGCCAGGATTATAGGCTTGAGCCACCGTGCCTGGCTAAAATCAGAATATCAAAGAGATATCTGCACTCCCGTGTTCACTGCAGCATTATTGACAGTAGATAAGACATGGAAACAACCTATGTGATATTCAGGGGACGAATGGATGAAAACAAAATGTAGTATGCCTACCGATAATGGACTATTACTCAGTTTTTATTTTTTATTTATTTTTTTGAGTTGGAGTTCACTCTGTCGCCCAGACTGGAGCGCAGTGGCATGCTCCCGGCCACCGCAGTCTCGACCAGCTGGACTCCGGTGATCCTTCTGCCTCAGCCTTCCAAGCAGCTGGAACTATAGGTGCGCACTACCACACCTGACTAATTTTTGATGTATTATACAGATGAGGTCTCGCCAAGTTGCCCGGGTGGGTCTTGAACCCGCGGGCTCAGGCAATCCACTCGCCTCGGCCTCTCAAAGTACTGGGATTACAGGCTGAGTCACACAGCCCAGCCTATTACTCAGTTTTAAAAAGGAGGAAATCCTTCCATCTGAGATCACATGGATGGGGCTAGAGAAATTTACACTGAGTGAAATAAGCCAGACACAAAGAGTGGAATCTAGAACTCACGGAAGGAGAGAGGAGGGTGGTTGTTGTCATGGGTTATGGGGCGATGTTGGCCAAAGGGTACAAAAACAGTAACTGGGTAGAGGTGATAGACATATTAATTAGCTGGAGTAGTCATCATTTTACGATGTCTATCAAAACACAATTTTTATATATCAAAAACTAAATAGTCGCAAAATAAACGCAAACTAAGACCACAATGAGATATCATCTTAGACTGGTCAGAATAGCTATTAATAACCCCCTCCAAAAGCAGATATTGGCAAGGATGCAGAGAAAAGAGAATGCAAATTCACTGTTGATGGGAATGTAAATTAGTGCAACCTCTGTGAAAAACAATATGGACATTTCTCAAAGAACTAAAAATAGAACTACCGTGTGATCCAGCAATCCTGCTGAGTATCTACCCAAAGGAAAATAAATCATTACGTTAAAAAGACATCTTCAGCACTCTTCACAATAGCAAAGATATGGAATCAGCCTAAGTGTCCATCAATGGATGATTAGGTAAAGAAAATGTGGTCTATATACACGGTGGAATACTATTTAGCCATGGAAAAGAATGAAACCAAATCTTTTGCAGCAACATGGATAGAAGTGGAGGCCATTATCTTAAGTGAAATAACTCAGAAACAGAAAGTCAAATGCTGAATGTTTTCACTTACGAGTGGGCGCTGAACAGGGTCTATACATGGACACAGAGAGTGGAGTTATAGACATTGGAGACTTGGGGGCTGGGAGGAGGGGAGGGGTGAGAAAATACTTAGTGGGTACAATTTACACTCTTTGGGTGATGAACACACTAAAAGTCCAGACTTCACCGCTATGCAACATATCCATGTGACAAAGCTGCACTGGTACCCCTAAATCTATACCAGAAAAAAAAACCCAAAAGAAATTAAAAGACCAAGAAGAAAAAAAATAGCCCACTCCAATCCAAGGGGGCTACCATTGTGAGCACTCCAAGTTCTTGGGTGGTGAGCCATGGGTGGGCAGGGGTATTTCTCACCTTATCGTGGTGACCCTGCAGCCTGTGTACCGGGCGCCCAGGCTGCTTCTCTGGAATAAAGGACTCAGCTGCAGGGGAAGAAGGGAGAGTGTTGATCAGAGGCAGACAACGGCCCTGGAATGGGCCTGGAAGTGGGACAGGGAGGCGGGCCTCTCACCAGGTGCCCCAAGACGCTGTCGGTAAGGTTGAACTTGTGGGAGCCTGGGCGGCCCATGTCTGTCATGTAGCGCAGGTTGACGATGGTGAAGTTCAGGGTGAAGAGCTCCTTGCTGACCTCCCCAGCTACAGCTGGGGAGAGAGACAAAGCTTGCAGGGTGGATGGTGGGTGGGTGGTGACGTGATGCAGGGTAGGTGGGGCAGCATATACCCTAAGGTGTTGGCTTCCAAGGGCCTGTATCTGCCTCCCAGTAAACCGGAGGGTGACTTGGGAATGGAGCCAACCCCATCAGCCAATAAGGGTGGCTTCATGATTTGGGAGTCCAGATGGGCTATTTCCACCCAGATGCAGCAGGAGAGGATCAGTGGTTTGTTCTTTCCCAGGGGGAAAGGCTTCGTATCACCACTCTGAGGCAGAATTGGCAGGTCCAGACATTTCGGCTTACACTCTTTCTCTCTCTCCCCTTTCCTCCCCCACCCCTTCCTTTCCCCTTCCCTTCCTCTCTGCTTCCATCTCTTTCCCTCTCTCTCTTTCTTACTCTCTCCCTCCTCCCCTCCTCTCTTCTTTTTCCTGCTCTCGTAGCTAGGTATGTGAATCCTCTAAGCATTAATTAAAACAGCCGACAACCCTAGCAGCCATAACTGACCTCTTTGCACCTCAATTTACTTATCCATGAGATGGGATCATGATAATGGTTGATAATTATTCCTTCTCTTGTGAGGGTTAAACAAGTTAATCTTTGTAAAGTGTGTAAGCACTGCTGGGCAGAGTAAACGTCCCTCTTTTCTTCCTTCCTTGTATATATACATAAGCAAGTGCTCTCCGGGCACTTACTATGTGTGAAGGTTTTATATACCTGTGAGCTATGGCTGAAGACAAACCTTTGGAAGAAAAGTTTACCTCTCCTTTCCCTCTCTTTCTTCTGCTAATCACTCCTTCTGAACTTCCTTCTCTCCTCCACCTTCCTTTCTTCTTTCCTTCCTTCTTTCTTTCCATCTATGTATCTTTCCTTTCTTCCTCCCCTCCACATCATTTAACCTCCTCCCCCTTCCCATACTTCCTTCCTTCCATCCACACATTCATCTTTCCTTTCATTGTCACTCCCTCCCTTTCTTCTTTCTGCCCATTCACACTCCCCTCTATGCATCCTTCTGTTCACATTTTCTTCCATCCATCCATCCATTTTCCTTTCTTCCTCCCTCTATTCCTTCAACCACCTATTCATCATCTTTCTATCCTTGCATTCATCTTTCATTCCTTTCATCCATTCATCTATATTCTCCTCCTCCTTTCTCTCACGCATCCCTTCTTCTATCATCCATCCATTTACCCATCCATCCATCCATCCATCCTTCCTTCCTTCCTTCCTTCCGTCCGTCCATCCATCCATCCATCCATCCATCCATCCATCCTTCCTTTCATCTGCTCATATATATTCTCCCTCCCTCTTTTCATTCATTACTTCTTCCTTCCTTTTATCCACCCACTCATCCACCCATCCATTCTTTCATCTATCCATCTTTCCTTCCATCCATCCATCTTTCCTTTCATTTGCTCATCTCCTCCTTCCTTCTTCTACTCATCCCTTCTTCACCCATCCATCCATCTTTTGTCCTTACACCTCTTTTTTCTTCCTTCCATCTATTATATCCATCTTTCCTCTCTTCCCTCATTCCCTTTTTTCTTTCATCCATCTCATCTTCTTTCAACCCACTCATCTATATTTTCTTTCTTCCTCCTTCAACTAGCCACTTCTTCCATCATTCACCCATCCATCCATCCATCCATCCATCCATCCATCCATCCATCCATCCATTCATCCATCCATCCATCCATTTGTCTTGCCTTCCACACATAATGAAGGACTCTAGGAACTCTTTGAAGGACTGAGCAGTAATAAACAAAACACATTCAATGTCACTTTTTCCTCCTAATATTTGGGAAAAGGTGGTCTATGGAATCCATGAAGATTAATGAGCCCCTTGGTGAAAATGAGTGAGCAAGGAGGAAGAAGTGATGGGTATAAGTCATTTTGTAGAGATGATTTGGGGCCAATAAAAGCTTTCCTGCCTGTGGGTCTGATTGGGTGAGGAGGATGGATGGAGCTAGAGAGGATGCTGGGAAGGATGTGAAGGGCATAGCTGCTGAGAAAAAACCACCAAGAATGAAATCCAAAGTGTCACACCTCCAAGGGAATGGCAGCAGTGGTGGCAGCTCTAATTATGAAAATTTGTGCTTCTCAACACGCCCCATTCAACCAATCTGGACATCATCCTCAGAGGTGTATGTGGGGAGAGGGTGGCTGCTTCCCATCATCCCCAATTTAGCCCACATGTCTATACATGTCTTCTGTCCTCCTTTTTCACCCAAAGAGTGAGTGACAGGAGGAGGGACTGGATGCTTGAAAAGCTTCTATTTTGGGGGGGAAGGGAGGTGGTCAAAGATACATATAGATCTGGAATACTCACTACTGGTGATGGTGCCTGGGGCTGGAAGGGTGAGAGGAGTGTAACCTGCAGAGACAGGGAGAGACGGTAAGGAAGGGGGGAAAGGAGAGATCTTCCAGAAGAGGAAACTTGGCCATTGGAGAGCTGGCCGTTGCAGAGAGGGCCTGCCAATGGTTGAATCACCGCAACTGTGACTCATTAAAAGGAAGCCAGATGAGATGGTGGGAATATAAATCAGGAAAATCTCTGTGGGAAACGTATGGAGAGTTCTCAAAGAACTGAAGCTAGATCTACCATTCCATCCAGTCATCCCACTGTTGGGCATCTACCAAAAGGAAACAACATTTGATAATAATCATAAAAAAAGACACCTGTAGTTGTATGTTGGTCTCAGCACAATTGCAAAGATAGGAAATCAACGTAAGCTCCCACCAACCAAAGAGTGGATAAAGAAAATATGAAATGTATGTATCGTATATATGTGATATATCAATATATTATATGTGACATATGTAATATATATATAAAGGAATATTTGTAAAGGAATATTACTCAGTCATAAAAAGAATGAAATAATGTCTTTTGCAGCAACTTGAATAGAACTAGAGGCCATTATCTTAAGTGAAGTAATGCAGGAACAGAAAAATCAAATACCACATGTTCTTACTTATCAGTGGGCACTAAATAATGTGTACACATGGACATGGAGAGTGAAATGACAGACATGGGAGACTCAGAACTCAGAAGGGGGTGGGAGGAGAGTGATGGATAAAAAACATGTATTGGGTACAATGTATACTAACCAGGTGGTGGGTTCCTTAAAAGCCCACCACTAGACTTCACCACTACACAATTCATCCACATAACCCCAAACCACGTGCACCCCTAAAGCTATTGAAATTTTTTTAAATGAAGAAAGAAAGAGCCCCTACCTGGCAGGGATCAGAGTCTACTTCCCAGCTGCAGAGAGGCAAAGGTTTTACTCAAAGCACTCAGATGTGAGCCCTACTGGAAGCTTGAATAGTGCAGGGACACGCTCCAATCCTCCCTGACAGCTAGAGATGTAGCAGAGCTCACCCAGCAGGGAGGAGGAAACCCACACCCCAACACAGACCTTTCCCAGAGATGTAAACCTCGGCACTGCAGAAGATGGGAAGAAAACACTCAAGTGCTTGGAGGTGGGGACTCCATCATCCTGGAGATACCAGGGAAGAGGTGCCTAGGTCTGGAGCTTTTTCTGGGGGTACAAACCCCTGTTCCTTCCAGGTTGGAAGTGGAGTGGGGGTGAGAAGGGAAGCTATGGGCCCCCTGGTCTCTTCCATTCCTGAGAGCTGAGACTCAAGTGGAGGCAGTTTACAGGAATGCAAAGACTTAAAAAAAAAAGTTAGATTTGGGGTACAAGTGCACATTTGTTACATGGGTTTTTTTGTGTACTGGTGCGGGGGTTGGGCTTGGGCTTCTGGTGTACCCATTACCCAGATAGTGAACATTGTGTCTAACAGGTAAATTTTCAGTCCTCGGTCCCCTTCCATCCTCCCCCTTTTGGAGTCTCCAGTGTCTGTGACTTCTTCCTTTATGTCCATGTGTGCCTACTGTTTGGCTCCCACAGGAATGTACAGGCTTCTGAAGACTCAGAGTACTTACTACTGGGGGACAGGGGGAGAGACTGGCCCAGCTATTAGGGGTATAACCGGCACAGGTGGAGGAGAAAGGCTGAGTAGGGGGTGGGATGAGGGAGAGACAAATAAAGGATGATGTGAGGCCTGTTGAGTACAAAAAAGAATGGCATCTGCTCACCATTGACGTGCAGACTGTCCCGGTCCAGGGTGTAGGAGCCCAGGTGGGTGACCCCATGAGTCAGCCGGCTCAGCTCCCAATACAGTTGCTCTCTGTCTAGTCTAAGGCCTGTGGGGTCTGAGTGGTAGGTACAGATGGTGTTCACTCTGGTAGCTGCCCCATCCTTCTCAGGCCTGGGGAGGGCAGGTAAGAAAAATGACCATAAAATGATGGCCCACAGAGGTGACCTGAGATTCCTGTGGGCAGAACAGGAAGGAGCCAGGTAATATTAAGAGTCTCACAGAGAGGGAGAAACCAGGCTTAGTTTCTCTGAATGCATCGATTTCCAGCCAGCCTGGGACCGTCAGCAGAATCACAGATGCACTATCTTTTATTAAATTGCAAAACTCAAATTTGCATCCTCATGGCGGGGGGTGGGATGGGGACAGGAGGGCTTACACCTAAGAAGGGTGAAGAGCTGGAATTGGGGATTAAAGCAGGTAGGGAAGGCACATTTGTCTTCAGAGAAACCCTGGGGACAGAATTTAACACATAAAGGAAAGGTGAGCTGGAGAAAATTGAGAAGGATGGCCAGGGTAGGGGCTCATCCTGCTGCTGGGGATTGCAGAATCTCTCAGGTGGGGAGGGAGGTAGTAGAATTAGGAGACACTTTGGTCCTGGAGTCAGTGCCTCCTGGCTTCCACCTCTGCTGAGGACATCCACAGAGATGGCAGAGAGGAAGCCGACCAAACTCCTTAGGCCTGAGAGGACAGAGGCAGCCCTGGCTATTCTAAGGTCTCACCTGAGCAAGGCTAGTCTGCAGCCAGAGTAGAGAGGACCAACACTGGTGTTCTTGAACAAGTTCCTGAGCTGTGGAAGAAGGAAAGGGAAGAGAGTTAGAGAGCTGAGAGGGCAGGGACCTGGCATAATTAAGGTCAGGGTCGGGAAGGGCTAGTATCAGTGGACATGGCTGCATCTCTGGGGATAAGGATGAGCTTGGTAGGACATTCTTCCATAGCTCTGGCATAGGTGAGGTAGGAGAAATTGAGTGAGGTGGGTAGGGCAGAATTAGGTGGGCGTGGCTCTCACCAGACCCCGCAGGACCCTCTCTGTGGTGTTGAATCTCCTGGAGCCAGGGTAACGCATGCTCTCCCTGTAGTGCAGGTTGGTGATGGTGAAGTTGAGAGTGAACGGCACCAGGAAAGGAGGAGATGCTGGAGCAGAGATGGGAAAGAAACACTGTGTTCAAAAATAGAGACAGGTCGGGCTCGGTGGCTCAGCCTGTAATCCCGTGCGTTTGGGAGGCTGAGGTGAGTGGATTGCCTGAGCCCGTGGGTTCGAGACCCGCCTGGGCAACTTGTCGAGACCTCATCTCTACAATAAATCAAAAATTAACTGGGCGTGGTAGCGCGTGTCTGTAGTTCTGGCTACTTGGAAGGCTGAGGCGGAAGGATCGCCGGCACCCAGCAGGCGAGGCTGCGGTGGCCGGGAGTGGCCACTGCACTCCAGTCTGGGCGACAGAGTGAGACTCCAACTCAAAAAAAAAAAAAAAATAGAGACAACATGAGTTTGCAATAGACTTACTTAAAACATATGGCGCGTTTAAGGTGAGTGACCAAAAAAAAAAAAGTTTTCCATGAATCCTTTCCTATAACAGTAGAGGGTTGTTTTCCTATAAAATAATTCTTGTTTTATTACTATTTTATTTTTAAAATGTGGGGTAAAATTCAGGGTTATTTTCAAACAGTCATTATGCAGGTACCCTTGTTGATGAGGTGTGTCCCCTCCCCCGGCAGTTTCCCACCACTGCCAATCCCTGGTACAGGTTATATAATAGCAGCTAGGGGCTGAGCATAGTGCTTGGTTCATGTTCAGTGTTCAGTAAGGTCAGCTGTTATCAGTTTACTCTTGCTGTTTGTTCTTCTCAGGCCTAGGGAAGCCGGGTAAAGCAAAGGGGGTCAGGGCTACACTGGTGTACAATGGAACAGGGGTCACTGAAGATTCTCTATCAACAACCTTTGACTGTCATCATCGTCACAACCATTGTCGCTATCACATTCACTATTGTCATCATCATCGTTGCCATCGCCACCGACATCATCCCCATCTCACCACCACCACACTCATCCACACCATCACATCACAACATCATCACCCTCACCACCACCACCTCTGTCATCCTCACTATCTTTATGAGGTAGGTAGGACCGTCTTCCATAGCTCTGGCACGTGAGAGGTAGGAAGGATCAAGAGAGGGGGGCAGGGCAGAGTTATGTGGGTAGAGCTCTCTCTAGACCCTGCAGGGGTCTTTATCACCCTCCTCATGACCATTCTCCCCATCACCAACATCACCATGGCAACCACCACCGTCATCACCACCCCCCACCCCTATCATTCCCAATTACAAAAAGTCTCCGAGGGAGAGGTGGTTATCTGTTTTGTAGTTCTTGCCATGGCTCCGGGGCCTGGCACAGAGCAGGTTCTCCGTAAAGCTTGTTCAGTTGACTCACCATCAGAAGATTTATTAGTCCATTGTTATTTGAGTGAACATGGCAGAGATGTCGACACTCATTGGGCGTGCTCTAACACTGGGGCCGTTGACTGGTACTTACTTGTGAGGCTCAGGAGGGAAGATGGAGACCCAGAGCTTCTCAGGTCTACTGTGGATGTCCGAGGAGCTGTGGAGAAGACCTCATCAGTGAAAGCAGCAAGCACTTTCATGGCAGAAATGCCAGCAGGTGCAGCAGGTGAGACGATTGGTGGGGCCTGGTTCGTGTGGGGCTGGAGCTGGGTCTAACTCTTCAGTTGGGACCATTGGACAAGGTAAAAAACTGTGACCTCCCAGCTCCTTTCTTAATGAAGAGGTCATAAGGGAGAGTGAGGAAGGGTCGGTTCCTCCCCTTCCTGGTTTAAGATGGAGGACACAGGAATATCAGTTGAATACTCACTGCTGGTGGTGGGCACAGAGCTCCGGTGGGTGAAATCTGCAGAGAGAGGAAGGGAGCATAGTGGGTAAGAATTAAGGGAGAGGTGTGGAATGAATAAGGAGTCAGGGCTGCCCTGGTGCAATTGGAGGAGTGTCATGGACCAGAGGCCCCTGGAGATTCTCTATCAACATCCTCTCACATCAGGTAGGACGGTCCTGAGGATGAACTCAGTCCAAGGTGATGATGGAACCATGGAGTACAGATATTAGTCATCACCTATAGACAATAGGGCCCACCCTTAATGACCAGGCAGGGAAAGTGACCTCTAGTCAGGGAGCAGAGGCTGTCCAGCAAGAAGGAGATATCATCTGCATCCCAAATGCTCACCGTTGACATAGAGACTGTCCCTGTCCAGGATGTAGGAACCCAGCCGAGTGACACCATGGGTCAGCCGGCTCAGCTCCCAGTACAGCCGCTCTCTGTCCAGCTCAAGACCCATGGGGTCAGGAAGATGAGTACAGACAGCATCAACTCCAGTGGCTGTTCCATCTTTCTCAGTCCTGGGCAGAGAGGGACACAGGGATGAAGAGGGTGGGGAGTCCAGGCTGAGGTCCTGAAATGTCTCCTTGAAGGAGGAGACAGAGAACTCAGGAGGACTGGTGAGCAGCCTGGAATGGCCTTGGCACTGGAGGACTATTACAAATGAATAGGACAGCCAAGGTCCCCAAACACAGAGAGGATATAGCATCCATAAATATAAATGTTGATATTTGTGCTAAACTTTAAAATAACCATCATAACAAGGCATTATACCCCCTAACAACAGAAGCATGATGGTGGAAGGAAGGAATCAGGAATCTGACAAGGTGAAAGAAAGCAATGTCAGATTGCTTAAATTCTAGCTCTGTCACTCAACTTCTAGCTGACTCTGAGTAAGTTTCTCAACCTCTCTGCAGCTCATTATTTTCATCTGTGTAATGAGCTAATAGTATAGAGCCCACAGCACTTAGTTCTAGCAAGTGCTCAATATAAGGCATTCATTTTTAAAATTAAGTATTCACAGGAATAATGTTCCTGGTGTGAGTGGACTTTGCAATGAGAGAGGCCAAGTTTTTTGAAGGAAATAGTGATGTCAAGTAAACTGTCTGAGGTGGAGGTGGGAATGAGACTGTGCAGTATCAGAGAACAAGAGAGAACCCAGGGCCAGTGGGAAGGGGAAGTATAGCATCATGGGTGGAGAACAACCATGAATGTCTTTGGGGTTGGGGGGCATTTCATCCTCACACAAAAGCTCAGTGATTTAAAGGTATCACACAAGGGGCAGGGTGACCCAGGGGCTCAAGTGGAAGTCCACATAGGAAATATTCCTGGGTCTAAGAGTAGCTGTAAATAATTTACTACATACTTACATTTTAATTCTCATCATGCTCTTTCTTCGATCACAAGTGGATTTTCCCACCTCTTAAATCTGGGCTTGGCCACGTGGTTGGCACTGGCCAATGGAAATCAGCAAAAGTGATATAGGAAGAGACTTGAAAATCACGTGTGTGAAGGTTTGCCATTCCTTCCTGCTCTTGGAACCCTGATCATGTGAATGGGCCTGAGTTAGCCTGCTAGAGGATGGAAGAACATGGAGGAGAACAGAAGTTCCCCAGCCACCAGTCCACCCAGCCCCTGACTACAGACACATGAATCACCCCATATGAGACAGACATATGAGATCAGCTGAGCCAACTCAGGCTGGGGGAATCTCCCAGCTAAATCCAGTCCACATCACCAGTTTTACCCAGCAGAATTGTGGGCACAATTTGTTATGCAGAAGAGCAAATTGAGACACTCCAATTGACTGGAGAGGAGGCAGAGACACAGAGATATTAAGTCACTTGTTGGGGCCACATAGCCTTAAAGTGGAGGAGCCAACATTTGAGATGTCAGATTTCAATGGAAAGTGGAAAGCCACAGTAAAAAACTGTGCTGCATTGCTCAACAATCTCTTAGAGGGTGGAGAAGACATCCTAAGTCTGGCTGTTAGAGGTCAGACAGCAGAAGTTGGTTATTGCTAAAGGACAATGAGATAGAGGGGGACTCGCCAGATATTACAGACAGGTCAATATTTAGCCAAAATGTGGCAAAAACAGTAAAGAGAATTATGTACCCTTTATATCAGGATTTCTTAACCTTGGCACCATTGACGTTTTGGGTCAGATAATTCTTTGTTCTCAGAGACTGTCCTGCACACTGTAGAATGTTTAGCAGTATCCTTGGTCTCTGCTTATAGATGCCAGTAGCATCCCCCATCCTGACTTGTGACAATAAAAATGTCTCCTGACATACAATCACTTCTGGTTGAAAACTACAGCTTTATGGGGATGACACGGATATGACTGGCTAATTGCTTTCTTGATGAACTCTTGCATAAAAATCTTTCTGAAAAGTCCATCCTTGTCTCCTGGGAAGGAAAGAATGAGTGGTGTCTACATTTTCTGGTCAAAAAGGAAAGAAGACAGAGCAGGAACTGGGGGCCAGTTGTCCCTGGGGCAGCGTGTGCAGAGTGTTAGGGCCCAGACTGTGGTTATCTCCCATATTGTCTGCATGTCTTCTCTGGAGTTCTCACCTGAGGAAGGCCAGTCTGCAGCCAGAATAGAGGGGACCAATGCTGCTATTCTGGAACAGGAGCTTGAGCTGGGGGTAAAAGAGAGGGGGGTGAGAAGATGGACCAAGGTGACTTGGCTGGGAAGAACAGGACAGAGATGGGGAAGGGCAGGCATTGGAGGCTCTCACCAGGCGAGTCAAGGTCCTCTCTGTGGTGTTGAATATCCCAGAACCTGGGAGTTTCATGTCTTCCCTGTAGTGCAGGTTGGTGATGGTGAAGTTGAGGGTGAACATCACCAGGGATGGTTCTGTGGCTGCCCAGGAAAGAGAGTGAAGGGGTTCATTATGAGCTCTGTTCTGGCATCCTCTAGAGGGAGGGTCCAGGGTGGACTCCTTAATCCCATGTTCAGTGAAATAAGCCTGGACTACCCTTGCACCCAGCCAGACTTAACGAAGGGAAAGAGTTTTCATATGAGGTGGATGATTTTAGCTGAAAAAAGAACCTCAACTCGTTTAGCCAAATGTATCTAAAGACTAATAATTGTTGGGAGGTTGAGGTGAGAGGATTATTTGAACCCAGGAGTTTGAGACCAGCCTGGGCAACATAGCGAGACCTCATCTCTACAAAAAAAGAAAAATTAGCCAGGCGTAGTGGCATGTGCCAGTAGACCCAGCTACTCGTGACTGAGGTAGAAGGATCACCTGAGCCCAGGAATTGAGGCTGCAGTGAGCCATGATTGTGCCACTGTACTCCAGCCTGGGTGACAGAGTGAGACCCTGACTAAAAAACAAACAAAGAACAACAACAACAAAACAGCGAGCAACTGGTGGACATTTGGATTGGAGAGAAAGAGAAGCAAAGCCACTCTGCTACAGTTGGCTCAGTCCCCAAGGCAGCGACCTCCTATAGTCTTCTGATGTCCCCATGGGATAACTGCTGAGTGGACAAAATTGATCCCCTCATGGGCATGAGCCTTCCTCAGTTTCATTAACAACCTCTGGAGAGGGGATTTTAGGCACAGTGACATGCGGGTTCTTTAACTGCAGCATTTCTGCTCCCCCCACTAATCCTGAGAGGTAAGTATTACCATTTTACAGATGAGGACATTGAGGCTCAGAGAAGGCAAATTTTGCCCAAGTCCCACAGACAAAGAAATAGCACAGCCAAACTGTCTCTTTAGCTAAAAGCAAATATTGCACACTCAAGGTTGGGTGTAGTAGCTCATGCCTGTAATCCCAGAACTTTGGGAGGCCAAGACAGGAGGATTGCTTGAGCCCAGGAGTTTGAGACTAGCCTAGGCAACATAGCGAGATCTTATCTCTACCAAAAAAAAAGAAGAAAAAGAAAAAAATTAGCTGTATGTGGTGGTGCATGCCTGTAGTCCCGCCTATTCTGGAGGCCAAGACAGGAGTATTACCTGAGCCCAGAAGCTCGAGGGCATGAGTTGTGACCATGCCACTGCACTCCAGCCTGGGCAACAGAGTGAGACCCTGATTCAAAAACAAGCAAACAAAAATCTAATTGCACACTCATGTTTATGGCAGCATTATTCACAATAGCCAGAAGGTGGTAGCAACCCACATGTCCATCAATAAATGAATAAACAAAAATATGGTCTATTCATATAATGATATATTACTTATCCTTGATAAGGAAGGAAATTCTGACATATGCTACGATATGGGTGCACCTTGAGGACACCATGCCAGATCAAATAAGCCAGTCACAAAAAAAGATAAATACTATATGATTCCACTCACTGAAGATATCTAGAATCATCAAAATCATGTAAATGAAGAGTAAAATGGTGTTTGCCAGGAGTTGGGGGGAGGAGAAATGGGAATTGTTGTTTAATGGGTATAGAGTTTTAGTTTTGCAAGATGAAAATGTTCTGGGGAACCTAAATTTATTTGAAACAACTGAATACACTTAAAAATGGTGGAGATGATATATTTTATATTATGTGTATCTTATCACAATTGAAAAATTTAAAAACCAATCATACGCCTAAAAGGTCAATTGTTTTCTCCAGAAAAATCCATGTATTCCCCTGTGGCATAAGGTTAGGGGTAGGGCCTGGAGCTTGGATATCTGAGTTTGAATCCCAGCTCTGCTACTTGCTAGATGGTTATCTGAGTTTGAATCCCAGCCCTGCTACTTGCTAGATGGTTAGCGGGACCAGTTACTTAGCATCTTGTCTGTGCCTGCATTTCATCCTCTATAAAACGGTGGTAAGAGTTGTAGCTACCTCCTAGGGTTTTGGTGAAGATTAAGTGAATTAAGACTCTGGACAAGGCAGAATAAGCCCCTTATAGCCTATCTTCACTGATTACAAAGAAAACTTCTAGATAAAATTTAAAAAGCAACTACCCAGGATTCTGAAAAGTAAACAAAAGCAGGCCTATTGCGGAGGAGAGTCAAAACTTTCGGAGAAGTGACTTTGTGCAAGAGTTCGTTGCACTCTTTTTCTCTTCTTTTTTGTCACATAGTTATTCTGAGTGTAAGTTCCCGTCCTAGAGCTGTGCATGAGGGAGTGAGTACATGAGTAGATAAAATTCTGATGGAAACCCCATATTTCTGACCACATAGAACTAGGAAATGGGGTGTCAGTGAGATTTTCAGCTCCCAGGTGACACACATGAGATGTGAATAAACCACATCGCAGTAAATTCCATGAAGAAAAGAATCACTGTGATATGACAGAGAAAACTTGTGGGCTAGGTGTGTATGTGAGGAAAGTGCTATTTCATATGAGGTGGTCTGGAAAGGTCTTGTAGACAAGGTGATGCTTAAACTGAGATTTAAAGAATGAGATGGTACTGCTGGTCCCAGGAATATCTACTGCAAAAGTCCTGATATGGGACAGAGATTAGGGAGCTTGAAGACCAGGCAAGAGTCTGGAGGGGACAAAACTTAGAGAGTGAGGGGAGAGGCCAGAACATGCAAAGGAAGGATGATCAGCAGGGACCAGACTATGCCGTGTTGATATTCCATAGACCCCAGAGAGCAGGTTCTTACCTGCAGGGCTGGGGGTAGAGGATGTGAAAATGCCTGCGGAAAATGTAGACATCATGGGAGCTGAGAAAAGAGAACATGTGGAAAATGAACAAGTTCCAGCCTACAGGAATCTTGGGCAGGAGTTGTTAAGTGAAATATGAGCTTCTGTCTTGACTAGACCAAGACCTTGGTTAGATTAGGGGCTGCTCTGAGGCTGTGGCTGGAAATTAGTTTCTCTTCTGAGGAATAAATGCTGGTATGAAGAGTCCTGAGGGCATTAGGGTATCACCGCTTAGAATACTCACTGCGGGTGATAGGAGTCCAGTCTCGATGGTTATAACCTGCAGATTGGAAGGAAGGAAGAAAGAATGACTATTACTACAGTTAAGAGGAAGGGAAGGAAAAATGGCAGACCTAGAAATGAAAATCATTAAGAAACTTTCTGAGGATTATAAATAAACAATAATGGCTACCTTTTCCTTGGTACCTATTATGTGCTTTCATCTGATCATGATGGACATCTCACCATTACTATTACTAAAATAAAAATACAATAGTGATAGCTGCCCCTTTTTGGGGGGATATACTAAGCACCAGCAATAAAGCCATTCATACTATAAGGGTAAAAAGACACTTTTAGGAATGAGTGTGCATCCTTACCTTTCTCATATTCTCTCCATTCATAATTTACTTTGATTCTTGTCTCTTCCCCAAATTTTAAAATAATATGACTTTTTCCCCCTGAGTTTAGTTTCTGGGTTTTTGTGATGCAGAACTGACAAAACTGTGTCAGGTTGAGAAAGTGGTACGTGGGGGTGAATATATGGAGGGATAGAGGAGTGGAGTGGTACATACGGTTTGAAATGTTAGGGAAAATTTGATTAAAAAGGGGAGACTTGGTGATCAGACAAATGGCATAACAAATGGAGCTTGAAAAGAATTGGGGAAAAGATAATTGTTTGTGAGTGTTTCTCTGGGTTGTGGGTTGTACCTCTTTGGATGCTGTGTGAGAGACGCCAGTGAGGACTGGACACAGGAAGACTGGGCAACTGACTTGGGTTATTCCTGAATCATCTCACTTGACATCAGAACAATCCTACGTGGTCCTTTTGTTCCTTTCTATGAATGGGACACTCAAGCCTCAGGAGGTTCCATGGCTTGTCTGGCCTTACATGAAAGAGAGAGCTGTTACTCGACAATACCTACACTCTAAGCCTCTGCCCTAAATCAGTCCAAACCCTGGAGCAAACCTTCTATGGACACAGAACAGGGTGTGATATTGAACAGACAATGAAATTGACAGTTCAAGTCAGATATAAATGAAATCTCCAAGTGGATATAGAGGGGAAATGACAAATTATACATTAGGTTAGATTGTTAGAGTCCACTGCCTGTTCCGAGATCTGAGGCTTGTTCTTTTTGGATGATCTGCAGTGTGGCCTAGTGGTTAGGAAACTGGAGTTTAGATGGGCCTTCAATCTTCAGTTGGAGTTTTTATCCATCATTTTTTATAGCTGGAGGATTCTGGACAAACAACTTTCTCCTTGCATGCATAATGGTTCTCTGTAAAAATGAATATATTAACTCACAGAGCTTGGGTAAGAGTAATATGAGATAATACAATAAAGTTCTCATCACAATTCCTGGCATAGTGGGACATTTTGATAAGTATGAGCTGCTCTTGTGGTTTTATTCTTGGTAGCAGCACTGCTGTGCTAAAGATGTTATTCACGGTGTATTAGCTAAGGGTGGTGGTGTTAAATGAATTCAGTGTAGTTTCTCCTGGACATGGAAACGTGGAATTTGCCTTGAGTTGTCACGATGGAGAGAATGAGGGGGAAGAGGGCTGAATTGGACTCCCACTGCCCAATGGGGAGACTCAAACACAGGACCCCATATTGTCCCCTTCTTTCTACATGTTACAGTTAAAATTTTAAGGGAATAAGCAGAAGGAAAAAACACTTTGTCTCAGAAAGTGAGAGGAAAAACGAGTCCCCCTCCTTCCCTTGGTATGCTAAGCATTTTAAAATTAGTCCTCAAAGAAATACTAAGTTTGTACTAGAACTATAAATTTTTGTTGGCACAGTTTCTCAACCTTGGCACTGTTGACATTTTGGTCCAGATGATTCTTTATAGCGGGGCTGCCTTGTGCATTGTGGCACCCCACAATGTGTGAGCAGCATTCCTGGTCCACCCACTATATCTCATTAGCATCCCTCAATCATGACAGGAAAATGTCCCCAGAACACTGTCAAATGTCCCCTCAAGTAAAAAATGGCCCCTCGCTGAGAACTACTGATATGGATAGACTTGGGGCTGTAGGTGACCCTAGCTGCAGCATGCACACTCACCATTGACATAGAGACTGTCTCTGTCCAGGGTGTAGCGGCCCAGCCAGGTGACACCGTGGGTCAGTTGGCTCAGTTCTTGGTACAGCTGTTCTCTGTCCAGCTCAAGGTCCATGGAGCCAGTATGGTAGGTGCAGACGGCGTCCACTCCAGTGGCTGATCTGTCCTTCTCATTCCTGGAGTGATTGGCACATGGGAATGGGGACATCCAGAGATGTGAGAGAGTTAAATATTTTGTTCCACTCTGTGTTTAAACAGAACCCCTACTTTTCTGGTTTATGACATCTTTCTTTACTGGGTCTTGTCTAGTTTCGCAGACACATTTCTTTCTGTGTCCTTTTTATTCAGCCCCCACCCCCCGTAGAGTGGTTGATCTCCAGGCTCCATGATTTTGTTCTCAATTTTCTTCTCTTCTTCCCCCCTCCATTTTCCTTGGTTCATTTGATTTATACTCATTGTTTCAACTGGCAGCTCTGTTGTTATGAGGCCCAATGACTTTCTGTCTAGATGAGACTTCACTCCTAAACTCTGTCTCAGGCATCCAGTAGCCCCAGCGATGTTTTTCAGACTCTATGGGTTGCATATATCCCAAACTAAGATTATCAATACCCCCAAAAAACATTGTTCCTTCTCCCATGTTACTATATCAGTCATCTAGGAACCTCCTGGATCCTCCTCTGCCCTTTCCTTCCATATACATACTGTGTGTACACATCCAGCCTAGCTTCTCAATGGTCCACCCCCCTTCTGTACAATCATCACTTAAATTTTTTCCAGAAAAAATTTTTTTTCCATCCTCACATTTGCCAGTGCTCTACTCACAATAAATCACTACATGTCAGGGCTCTGCGTAAAACTCCATTGCACTTCTAGTTCTAAATCATTCTGACTAATATTTAGGGAACACTTAGGTGCTCTATTTTTACACTTGCTGCCTATTTTTTCTACAACTCTATTGAGTGTTGCTAACTTAACTGACATTTTGTTTTAGGCATTTTAATAACAGATGTATTGAAATATAATTTATGTTTATATACATACATTATGAAACAATGTATCATAGTTACGCCAATGAACACCCCTATCATTTCATACAGTTAACTTTTTTTGTGATCAGAACTCTAAGATCTACTAACTTGGCAAATTCTGCATGTATAATATAGCCTTATTAGCTGTAGACATTTCCATTTTATAGTTAAGAAAAAAAAAACTTCCCAAACATCACAAATCTAGGAACAAAAATAGGATGTGACTTCCTGCATTTGGACGCTAGGAAATATTAATACCTAACTTTTGGTGTAGAAAATACTGTGAAACTCTTTAGTGTGGCCAATAGCCCCAACTCCAGCATGAAGTCTTAATGATATCCACTCATCCAGCAACTCATCCACTGCTCATGCAACTATGCTCCCATGCTCCCACCCATCCACTCAGCCAGTCCTCCAGCTAACCAGGCTCCTTCTCCTTCTTCCTCCTCATCTTTTATCCTATGTATTCTTCATGCCCTCCCTCCCCCTATGTTTTCTCTTTTTGTGTGATTCTATTTTCGCTAGGTTTCTTTACTGTAAGAATACCAGAGATAATTTACATATAACCCCCTTCCCTTCCTCTGTCCTTCCCTTCTTCCTTTCTTTCCTTCCTTCTCCATCTCTTCTTCCTTGTCTGTTTTCTTCCTTCTGTCCTTCCTTCCCTTCCTCCTTCCTTCCATCCATCTTTCTTTCCTTTATTTTTTTCCTTTTACATTTATTTATTCATTCAATTTCTATGAGCTCCACACTCTATTCTCCTTTTGTTCACAGAACTTTTCTCATGTGCCAGGCTATTTCTCACATCTGTCCTATTCCTCGGGATGTGCCACCCTTTGAAATAATATCTTTGCCAGGGTTTCTTCTGGTGAATGTATTAATATACCCAACTGTCAGAGCTTGGCTCAGGCATGACCTTCTCCAGGCAGCTTCTACATGCCTCCCACAGGTTGAGCTAAAAGTTCTTTCTCTGGGCTCCTGTAGAGCTTTATCATTGCACTAACCCCGTTCCTATTATGGTTTTGAGTCCATGTAGTTGCTGCTTTCTCTATATTGTAGGTATCTTGAGGGAAGGACCCATGATTGACTCTTTCAGTGCCCTTGGCATCTAATGGTCTTAAGTGCCTCATTCCAAGTCTGCTTAATGAGTCAATACTACCCTTTCTAAATGGTGAGCCTAAATGTTCTGTGGTTTTGCTTATCCAAATAATTTTTTTTTTTGAGTTGGAGTCTCACTCTGTCACCCAGACTGGAGTGCAGTGGCTGCTCCCAGTCACTGCAGCCTCGACTTGTTGGGCTCCGGCGATCCTTCCGCCTCAGCGCTTATCCAAATAATTTAAGATCTTTGACAGCTAACTTCTTCAGGAAGCCCTCCCTGATACACTCAGTCAGAGGGGGCACCCTCTGAGTGTTAATTCCTGGAAGAACCTAGTTCTTTATGATCCTTGCCTTCTAGGTGTCAAGCTCATGCCCTTGCCTCCAAGTGACATTGCCCGTGACCCTACAGCCCTTCACGACTTGAGGGAAGGGAGTCTCACCTGAGCAAGGTCAGTCTGCAGCCAGAGTAGTTGGAGCCAACATGGGTGTTCTTGAACAAGGGCTCAAGCTAGAGGAAGGAAGAGAGAAGAACAGGATAGGTTGAAGTAAGCGGGTGGGACAAGGACAAGGAAGACTGGGGTAGACATTCTGGGCTCTTACCAGGTGACTCAGGGTCTTCTCTGTAGAGTTGAAAGTTAAGGATCCTGGGTGCCCCATGTCAGGGGAATAGAGCAGGTTGGTGATTGTGAAGTTGAGGGTGAATGGCACCAGACCTGGGCCCACAAAGGCAGCTAGAAGGAGAGAGAGGAAAAGTCTACCCAGAGTCTGTACAGACAGCCTTTATGATGTATAGAATACCATCCAAACATATGTGATATACAAAGAAAGAGGAAAAATGTGTCCAATCCTCAAGGGAAAGACCAATGACAAATGCAAACCCCTAGGTGATTCAGATGTTGGGATAACCATACACAGACCTTAAAGCAGCTACTACAACTATGCTCTATGAGATAAAGGCAAATACACTTAAGATTAGTGCAAAGATAGAAGTATTCAGCAGAGGAATATATACATATGAACCAAAAGGAAGTTTTAGAGCAGAAATACACAATGTCTGGCAAAAAATAATTCAATGTAAGGGTAGAATGGAGCTAATCAAGAGAAGGCTTGGTGATTTTGAAGACTTATCAGTAAAGATGATTAAATCTGAAGTATAGAGAGGAAAAATTTTAAAAATGTACTGAGCCTCAGGGTCTTGTGAAACAATATCATCTCACTAGAGGCTTATAAGAAGAGAAAGAGATTGGGACAGACAAACAATGTGGAAAAAATAGTGACTGAACATTTTCCAAATTTCTTAAAATCATGCATTTTTAGACTTAAGGATCTCAGAAAACTCAAAATAGGATAAACTCAAAGAAAACTATGCCCAGACAGATTCTAATTAAACTAGTGAAAACTGACAAAGAAGGAACAATTTGGAGAGCATTGAGAAAAAACTACATATTCAATTCTGGGGTGACTTGGTTTGTGATTCATGTCACATATTTCCAAGCCTACAGGAGCCAGACATGTAACATGAAGGCTTGAATTGATCAGGGTAGAACAGGATAAAAGTGGAGAGTATGCATTTTGTCTAGGGCATGTAAAGAGTTTGCAGAGTTATGACTCACAAAATGCAGAAACCCCAAAGGCAAAATTTAATTGTAGAACACTAGTTTGTAGCTCATAACTTCAGAGTCATAGACAGGGTTAAAAACTAGGGGCATCCAACCTGTATCATGACAAACACGAAAAAGACCCCTAGATTCAACTTTAAAAATAATTCTTAAGGGCTAGAGTAGGACAGATTTCATGGCATAAATCAGGACTCTGTGTCACATTCCTGGAGTCTCAGGAGCCCTCAGACCCACATCTGAGTAAGATGAGGAGAGAGAGGACAAGAATCAAACTCGTGACTAACATCTTTAGATTTTTCTGAATGTCCAAATAGAATCCACTATGCAGATATATAAAGAGCTTGCTTCATTCAAACATGGACTCATTCAATCAGTGCATATAATTTATTGAGTGCCAGTGGGGTGTTCAGCTCCCAGGTGACAAATACACAAAGGGTAAATGAATAAACCACATGGCAGTAAATTCTGTAAAGGAAATATCACTGTAATAAGACACAGAAAACCTGCAGACCTGGTGCCTATGTGGTGAAAGGTGGCCAGGGAAGGTCTTTATAGAGGTGATTCTTAAGATTTGAAAGATTAGAAGGTGCCCAGAACAGCTAGTCTCCAGGAATATTTAGTGCAAAGGACCAGAGGTTGGACAGAGATTAAAGTGCTAGAAGGATAAGGAAGTACCTGGGTGACCAAAGCTTAGAAAGTGAGGGAAAGACCAGAACATGCAGAGGTTGAGTGGGTAGCGGGGGCCAGGCCGTGCAGCGTTGACATTTCATGAACCCCAGATATAGCAGATTCCTACCTGTAAAGTTAGGGGTGGAGGATGTGGAAACCCTTGTGGAGAATGTAGACATCACTGGAGCTGAGGAAAAAGAGCATAGAAAAAAAATGACTGGATTTTATTCGAAAGAATGTGGGGGCAGAGGCTGCTAATTGGAATTTGAGTTTCTATCTTGACTAGACCAAGACCTTGGGGAGATTAGGGGCTGTGGAAAAGCTGTGACTGGTTACTTGGAGAGGAGTGTTGTCAATTTCTCTTCTGAGGAATGAACCCCCGGAGGGAAAGAAACTTTGGGCATTGGGGTATCACAGCTTTGAATACTCACCACTGGTAGTAGGAGTCCAGTCTCGATGGTTATAACCTTTAGATATGGAAAGAGTACAGGATTATGGTGGGTAAGAGGTATGGCAGGGAAAGACGGAAATCGGCAAGAAGCTTTCCAAGATTCATTAAAAAAAAATAGTGACTCTATTTTGTTTGGTGCCTATAATATGCTTTGTCCTTTGATAATAATGATGGCCATCGTCAGCATTATCATTACTAAAATAAAAGTATTAATACAGTATTAATAGCTGCTCCTATTTCTGGGGATATACTAAGCACCAGGAATAATGGTAAATACATTTCAAGGGTAAAAAGACACATTTGTGAATGTATGTTCCAACCTTGAACCTTATCCGTATTCTCTCCATGCATAAAGATAATTTATCTTTATTCTTGCTCTCTTAGCCTGGCCCCTTCATAAAATTTTATAATAGCATAATTATTTTCCAGCTTAGTTTCTGCTTTTTTGGGAGGCAGAATTGACAAAATTGTGACATGCTGAGAGGGGACTAAAGAGTTCTACAAATGTGACAATAAAGCCTAGAGAGGATTCATGGTTTGTTCAGCCTTGCACCAAAGAGAGAGTTGTCATCCTACAACACCCACACTGTAAACCCCAGCCCTAAATTCGTCCTACCCCTGGAGAAAACTTTCTATGGACACAGAACAGAGTATGCTATTGAAAATACCGTGAAACATACACCTCAAATCGGATATAAATGAAATCCCCAAGCGGATATAGAGGAAAAATGACAAATTACACTTCAGGCTAATTGTTAGTAGAGTCCGCTCATGTCCCTTTCTGTCATAACATCTGGGCTTGTTCTATTTGGATGATCTGCCATGTGGCCTAGGGGTTAAGAGCCTGGAGTTTAGATGGGCCTTCAATCTTTGGCTGGGGTTTTTATTCATCATGCTTTATAGCAGGAAGATTCTGGGAAAATGACTTCCTCCTCGCATGCATAATGGTTCTCTGTAAAAATAAGTGTAGTAATTCACAGACTTTTGGGTAAGATGAATAACAGATAATATGAATAAAGTTCACACCACAATTACTGGCACATCAGAACATCATTGACAAATATGAACAGTCATTGTAGCTGTTATTCTTGGTGGCAGTACTCTGTTACAGGCTGTATTGCCCATGGTTTGGGTAAACAGTTATTAATCATGGTGTGTTTGCTAAGGGTGGCTGTTTGTGTGTGTGTGTGTGTGTGTGTGTGTGTGTGTGTGTGTGTGTGAAGTCAGTGTGTTTTCAATGGATCATGGAAACTGAGAGTTTGTCAGGATGGTAGAGGATGAGGGGGGAGGAGGCCTGAACTGGTCTTCTACTGCTCACAGGAAAGACTCAATTATAGGGCCCTGTATTACCCCCTTCTTCCTTCAAGGTCTTCATGCTGCTGTGGTACTCTTACTGGAAGAAGTGAAATAAGGAGATGAAAGGAAGAGGAAAGGAAACTAGTCTCTTGGTGTGTTAAGTGTTCAAAAATGAACAACTGAAGAAGTGCTAGTTTGTCCTAGAACTGTGAACCCATGTGCGGCAGAGTCTCAATCTTAGCTCTATTGGTATTGTGTTCTAGAAAATTCTTTATGGTGGGGATTGTCTTGTGCATTGTGGGGTGCTTAGCAGCATCCCTGACCTTGACACTCTAGATCCCATTAGGACCAATCTGGTCAATGAAAATGTTTGTAGACATTGGCAAATGTCCCCTTAGGTGCAAAATTACTCTTAGTTGAGAAATACGGGTATAGAGAGACTTAGGACCGTAGAAGACCCTAGTTGCAGCATGGACGCTCACCGTTGACATAGAGGCTGTCTCTGTCCAGAGTGTAGAGGCTCAGCTGGGTGACACCATGGGTCAGATGGCTCAGTTCCTGGTACAGCTGTTCTCTTTCTAGCCCAGGGTCCCTGGGGTCATGATGGTAGGTGCAGATGGCATCCACTCTGGTGGCTGCTCCATTCTTCTCATTCCTGGAGTGATAGGGACGTGGGAATGGGACATTCAAGATGCAACAGAGTTCAATATTTTGCCCAGCTCTCTCTTTGAAATTCAGCATTCTGCTCTTCTGGTTTATGACATCTCTCTTTACTGAGTCTTATGTAGTTTCTCAGACAGTTTTATTTGTGTTCTCTTAACCAGGCCCTTGCCCAAATCTTTAAAGTGTTTGATCTCTAGGTTCCAGAGTTTCAATTTCAGCTGACTTATCTTCCTTTGCTCTCCATTCTTTGAGATTTTCTTGGAGGCGGGGGGAGGGTTAAAGTTAATTGTTTCAACTCCCAGCTCGTGTCGCAGAGTCACGATCTTGACCTGTCTAGATGAGACCGCTCTCCTAAGCTCTGTCTCATATAACCAACCACCTCTGGGATGTCCTTTAGACCTCTTTGCATTGCATATACCCCAAATTAAGTGCATCCTCTCCCTCCAAGTCTCCTTTTTACTTTCTCATGTTTCATTGTCAGAACCAGAGCAAGAGATCTAGGCACCTCCTGCATCCACATTGCATCAATGGCCAGTCCGGCTTCTAAATGATCCACCCATTTTCTGTCCCTTCATCACTTAAAATTTCCCCATCCCCATATTTGCCAGTGCTTTACTCAAAATAAATCACATCATGCCAGGGCCCTGCTGACCACAACTCCATGGTTGCTACGGCTCTGAACAATTATGACTAATAGTTATGGAACATTTACTAGGTACTCTAATTTATACATTTGCTATCACTCTTTATCCTTTCAACAACTATGTGATAGATGCTGACATCATTCCCATGTTGCTTTGACATTTTAAAACAGCTTTATTGAAATATAATTTGATGCATGCACAAACATTGTGAAAGGGAGTCTCACAGTCACGCTTAAGAATATACCCTCCATTCACAAGCGACTTTTTCTTTGTTGCTGTCCTCTCTACATTGCGGGAACCTTGAGGGAAGGGGCTCATCATTGATTCTCTCAGCGTCCTTAGCGCCTGTCACAGGGTAGGGGCTGTGGTGCCTCATTTCATGTTTACTTAATGAGCCAAGTGGTAAGCCTGAATGCTGTGTGCCTCTGCATATCTAAACAATCTAAGATCATTGATAGCTATGTCTTTCAGGAAGCCCTCTCTGATACACTCAGCCAGAAGGGGTGCCTTCTGAGTCTCAGTTCCTGGAAGGCTCCAGTCATTGATGATCCTTGTCTTCTAGGTTTCAAGCTCATGTCCTCACCTCCAGGTGAGCTTGCCTGTGACCCTGCAGCCCTTCATGATGAGATGCAAGGAGGTCTTACCTGAGCAAGGTCAATCCGCAGCCAGAGTAGCTGGAGCCGACACTGGTATTCTTGAACAAGGGTTCCAGCTAGAGGGAAGGAAGGCCAGGATAGGTCAGGGGGACTGGGCTGGGCAAGGATAAGGCAGGCCAGGGTAAGCATCATGAGGTTCTTACCAGGCGATTCAGGGTCTTCTCTGTGGAGTTGAAGGTTAAGGATCCTGGGCGTCCCATGTCTGGGGCATAGTGCAGGTTGGTGATTGTGAAGTTGAGGGTAAATGACACCAGGCGTGGGCTCACACCTACAACTGGAAGAAGATAGAGAGGGAGAATGGAGGAGTGTACCTAGAATCTACATGGAATTCCAGTGTGTTGAATCTTATCCACATTTGCTTGACATACACAGACACAGGAATTCCAACGTGTTGAATCTTATCCACATTTGCTTGACGTACACAAACATGGAATTCCAATGTGTTGAATCTTATCCACATTTGCTTGACATACACAGACACAGGAAAAATGTCTCCAACCCTCAAGGGAAAGATCAATGACAGATGCAATCCCCAAGGTGATTAAGATGCTGGAATCACTAGGCACAGACTTTAAAGCAGTTGATACAACTGTGCTCCATGAGGTAAAGGAAAGCACATTTGAGATAAATGTAAAGACAAGCTGTCATCAGAGAAATAAATACTTATATACACATATATTTTGATAGAGAAAAGATGCAGTAGTTTATAATATACATTGATCAAAATTATTAAATCTGTAGGACAGAAAGGAAAAAAAGAAACTGAGCACAGTCCCAGGATCTCAAAGGATGCTATGATTGGGTGTCCAGAAGGAAAGAAAGAGATTAGTATAGAAAAGCAATGTTAAAGAAAGAGTGGCTGAACATTTCCCGAGTTTCTTGAAAATCATGCATTTTTAGATTCAAGAAGCTTAAAATACTCAAAACAGGATAAACTGAAAGAAAACCTTGCCTAGACACATTATGGTAGAATTGCTGTAAACCAAATATGAGGAACAAATATTGAATGCATCTAAAAAAAAAGACATCATCAACCATGGAATTACTTGGTTTATAATTCATGTCACATATTTAAAAGCCACAAGAGCTAGGCATGTAACAAATATTTGAGTTGATCAGGAATAAAAAGTGAGGAAGTGGAACGTGTGCATCTTGTCTAGAGCGTGTAAAAAGTTTGCAGGTTCGGCCAGGTGCGGTGGCTCAAGCCTGTAACCCCAGTACTTTGGGAGGCCGAGGTGAGAGGATTTCCTTAGCCCATGGGTTCAAGAATAGCCTGGGCAATTTGGCGAGACCTCATCTTTACAATAAATCAAACAATTAGTCGGGCATGGTAGCATGTGCCTGTAGTCCCAGCTACTTGGAAACCTGAGGCAGAAGGATTGCCTGAGCCCAGCAGGTCAAGACTGGGGTAGCTGTGAGTGTGCCACTGCACGTCAGCCTGGGCGACAGAGTGAGACTCCAACTCAAAAAAAAAAAAAGTTTGCAGTGTCTTGGCTCACAAAGTGCTGAAGCCCTGAAGGCATAATTTGACTACAAAGTACCAGCTTGAATGACAAGGTAGGCTTAAGGTTTAGGAATATCCAACCCGTGTCATGACACAGAATGCAAAAGACCCATAGACTCAACTTTAAAAATAAATCATAAGGGTTGCAGTCAGATAGATTTCATGATATAAATCAGATTCCAGGGGTATGATTCTACAGCCTCAGGAGCCCTCAGAGTCACGTCGTTGTAAAGCAAAAAACAGAATCAAACTCATGGCAAGAATCAAACTAGTGACGAAGACCTTTAATGATTATCTAGATGTCCAAATAGAATCCATAAATATGGATTCCACATATACAGGGATTGCTTCATTCAAACATTGACTCATTCAGTGAATAAATTTAATTGATTGAGTGCCAGTGAGGTGTCCAGCTCCCAGGTGACAAATACATAAAAATGAATAAACCATATTTCAGTAAATCCCATGAAGGAAATAATCATGGTGATACGATAGAGAAAACCGGCAGGACAGTTGTATATGTGGGGTAAGTGCTGTTTCATATAAGGTTCTCAGGATAGGTCTTGTAGAGAAGGTGATATTTGAACTGAGATTTGAAGGATGAGGAGGTACCAGCTGCACTGGTCCCCAGATATTGGACAGAGATTAGGAAGCTAGAGGAACAGGCAAATTTCTGGGATGGCCAAAACATAGTGAAGGGGAGAGAACAACAGTCCAGAGCATGCAATGCTGAAGTTCCATAGACCCCAGAGAGCGGGTTCCTACCTGTAGACCTGGGAGTGGAGGTTGTGGAAACACTTGTGGAGGATGTAGACGTCACTGGAGCTGAGGTAAAAGAAGAGAGGATCAATGATTGAGTTTCATCATAAAGAAATAGGGGTTGCTGATTGAAATTTGAGTTTCTATCTTGACTCAGACCAAGACTTTGGTTGGATTAGGTGCTACACTGAGACTGGGACTCAGGGAGGGGCATTGGGAGTTTCTCTTCCAAGGAATGAACCCTGGGGAGGAAGGTTCCTGGGAGTATTGGGGTGTCCTAGTTTTGAATACTTACTGCTGGTGGTAGGGGTCCAGTCCTGCTGGTTATAACCTGAAGATCAGGTGGAAAGAGCAAAACACGACTATTACCATGGGTAAGAGGAAGGGAGGGTAAGACAGTAGACCTAAAAATGAAAATCATCAAGAAACTTTCTGAGGACTATAAATAAACAACATTGACTTGGTGCCTAATATATTTGTTTTCCTTTGATAATAAAGCTGGATATCCTCACCATTATTATTACTAAAATAAAATTACAACAGTAACAGCTGACCCTATTTGTTCGGGATATGCTAAGCACCAGTATTAATGTTAACTCATTACAATGGTAGAAATACACATTTATGAATGAATGTGTGTTCTAACCTTACCCATATTTTCTTCATTTGTAAAGATAATTTAATTTTATTCTTGCTCTCCTAGATCTCTTCACACAATTTTAAGATGGTATATGTATATTTTATATATATGTATTTTAATATATTTTTAAATATATTATATTAAATATATATTTTAATATATTTTTATATATTTTTTCTAGCTTAGTTTATGGGCTTTTGTGATGTAGAATCGACAAAAATGTGGCAGTTTGATAACATGGTTTTGGAGATAAAAATATAAGGACATGGAGGAAAGGAATGGTACATATGGCTTGGAATATTAAGGAAAATTTGTTGGAAAGTGGTGGGATAATGAGAAAGGGAGACACTTGGGAAACAGAAGGATGGTATAACAGCTGCAGCCTGAAAACTACTGGAAAAGAGAATTTTTCAGTAGTGCCTACTGGGTCGTGGATTGCAACATTTTGGATGCTTTGTGAAATACTAAAGCAAAGACTGGACCCAGGGAGCCCTGCAATTTACTTGGGTTATTCCTAAATTATCTCATTTGACTATTCAACATGGTATTTGAATGCATTCTACAAAGAGGACACTAAAGTCTAGGGAGGTTACCTGACTTGTCTTGTATCACACAAAACAGATACCCATCACTCAAAACAACACTGTAAACCACTGCCCTAAATTAGCCCTGATTCTGAAGCAAACTTTCTATGGTCACAAAACAGGATGTGCTATGGAAAATACAATGGAATATGTATTTCCAACCAGACATAAAGGAATCCCCAAGTGGATAATAAGAGGAAATGACAAATTGAGTATATAGTTCAATTGTTAGAGAAGAGGCCATGAATGCCCCTTCCTGTCCTGAGATCTGAGGCTTATACTGTTTGGAAGATCTGCAGTGATACCTTGTGGTTTGGAGTTTGGAGTTTAGATTAGTCCCCAATCTTTGTTTGAAATCCTCACTACAGCCGGGCTCGGTGGCTCAGCCTGTATTCCCGTGCCTTTGGGAGGCTGAGGTGAGTGGATTGCCTGAGCCCACGGGTTCGAGACCTGCCTGGGCAGGCGCGACCTCATCTCTACAATAAATCAAAAAATTAGCCGGGTGTGGTAGTGCGCGCCTGTAATTTCGGCTACTCGGAAGGCTGAGACGGAAAGATCGCCGGAGCCCAGCAGGTCGAGGCTGTGGTGCCCGGGAGCGGCCACTGCACTCCAGTCTGGGCAACAGAGTGAGACTCCAACTCAAAAAATAAAATAAAATAAATAAAATAAAAAAAAAAGAAATCCTCACTCCATCATGCATTATAACTGGATGAATCTGGACAAATGACTTCCTCCCTGAATGTATAATAGAAAAATGAGTGATGCACAGGGTTTTGGGGTAAGATTAATATGATATAATAATACAAATAATATTCTCATCACAATTCCTGGCACATAAAAATATTTTGATAAATATGAATTGTTCTTGCAGCTGTTATTCTTGGTGGTAGTACTGCTGTTTGGGGCCTTGTGCTAACGATGTTGTATAAACAGTTATTATTCATAGTTATGATTTTGCTAGGGGTGGTTGGTGTTGTTTCACAAAGACAGTGTAGTTTTGTCTGGTCATGGAACCTGAGAGTTTGCCTTGCACTGCCATGATGGACAGGATGAAGGGGAGGGGGCGAACGGGTACCCATTGCCCAATGGGTAAGACACAACCTAGGGCTTTGAATCACTCCTTCTTTCCCCAGAAAGAGTGCATGCTACTGTTGGGATCCCCCAGAGTCTGCATGCTACTGTTGGGATCTTATGAGAATAAGGAGAAAGTGGGAACATTTCATCCCAGAATGGGAAAGGAAATCAGTCTTCATTAGCATGTTAAGTATTCAAAAATCGGTCCTCAAGAAATGTTAGGTTAGTGCCAGAACTATGATTCTGTGTGTAGCAGTTTCTCAACCTCAGCACTATTGACATTATGTTCTAGATGGTTCTTTATGGCAGGAAGCTGCATTTTTCCATTGTGAGATGTTTAGCAGCACCCCTGACCTCTACCCACTAGATCCCATTAGCATACTTCTAGTCATGACATAAAGATGTCTCCAGGCATTGTCAAATGTCCCTTGGGGTGTGAAATCACCCCTAGTTGAGAACTGCTAGTATAGAGAGACTTAGGGACTGTAGGTGACCCCAACTACAGTATGGACTCTCACCATTGACATAGAGGCTGTCTCTATCCAGGGTGTAGAGGCCCAGCTTGGTGACACCATGGGTCAGATGACTCAGTTCCTGGTACAGCTGTTCTCTGTCCAGCCCTGGGTCCATGGGGACAGGATTGTAGGTACAAATGGCATCCACCCCGGTGGCTGTCCCATTCTTCTTACTCCTGGGGTGATTGGAACAAGGAAATGGGGTCAGAGATGTGAGAGACACTTTACTCAACTCCGTTTAAATTTAGCCCACTCTTCTGGTTTTATGACATTTCGCTTGACTGGTTCTTGTCTGGGTTCTCAGACACATTTCTTTCTGGGTCCTCTTTATCTAGCACCCCCATTCAGTAAAGCAGGTGATTTTTATGGTCTCATCTTCAAGCAACTTCTCTTCTTTTTCTCCCTATTCTTCTTGGGTTATTTGGTTCATACTCATTGTTTTAACTAACAGTTCTATTATCAAGGGAGCCTATCTTGCTCTGTCTAGAAGATACCTCTCTCCTAACTAAGCTCTGTCACATGTAACCAACACTCTCAGGGATGCCCTCCAGACTCCTTGGATTGCATCTATCCCAGATGCAGCTTGTCATCTTCCTCCCCAAAACTCTGCTCCTTCTCCCATGTATCCATATCAGAGCCAGGGCCAGACATCTAGGCACCTCCTGGATCGCTCCCATCCCTTCTCTCCATCCCATACTGTATCCACATCCAGTCCAGCTTCTCAATGGTCCACCAGCCTTCTATCTCACCACTATTTTAAAATGTTCCCATTTCTACATTTTTCCAAAGCTCTACTCAAAATAAATCACTGTATGTCAGGGCTCTGCGTGTAACCACTCTGTGGTTCCACCAGCTCTAAATAATATCAACTAATATTTATGGAACACCTACTGGGTGCTCTAATCCCTTTTCCTCTTTTAACTGCTCTATGAGGGACATGCTGATATTATTCTGATTTGGGTCTTTTTGAATAACAGCTTTATTGAAATATAATTTGATACTTTGATATACATATACATTGTGACAACTCAGTCAAGCTAACCTACTTACCCCTCACATCACATAGTTGACTTTTTTTGTGATGAGAACACTTAAAATCTACTCTTTTAGCAAACTTCAAGTATACAATACATCATTGTTAGCAACAGTCATTTCCGTCTTATGGTTGGGGAAACAAAGTAGCACAGATATTAAAAATAAAACTTTGGTTTTGCAGAAGCTTGTCAGTTTAATAAGGTCCCATTTGTCTATCTTCTCTCTTAAGTCCTGAGGGTTTCGGGTTTTGTAC